GCCCCGCCCAAAAAAAAAAAAAAAAAAAAAAAAACCCCAAAAAACACAACTGTTGGTTTGGTCTACTTGAATAAATATTGCTAAACATCCACAATATGCTAGGCTCTGTTTTGATGGGCTCAGGATCTATTGGCAATGACATAAGTCAACAGGTGATTTTAGAGTCATGCTAAGAGATAAATTCATTAGAAACCATTAGCATGGAGAAGAGGTGCTTTTGATCTGGCAGGAAGATAAAGGAAGGAGGTGAAGTTAAATCTTGAAAGGGGAAGAACAGTTAGTTAGAGATAGAGTGAAGAAAATTTTAGACGTAGAGAAGAGCATAAATAGCAACCGACTTTCCTGTCAGCTGAAGCTGACTCAGATTGACCTAAACCAATCATTACATCTAGTGGTGTCCTGGTAAACAGCAGAACATTTTTACAAAAACTAAAAAGTCCAGATACATAGGGTTGGACAATTTCTGTGGTGCAAATACTCCTGCCATGGTCAATTTCAAGCTACATAGGTTAAGTCCCTAATGTTGATGTGGGAAGAAATATATTAATACTTAATTGGCTCTTGAGAGCCAACAGGAGCCGGCTGAGCACACCATCTTCCCAATCACAAAGATAGGTTTTGGGTCAATATGTGATCTAAGCTAATCCAATCAAAGCCAGTTTCAGAAAACCTGCTTGGAAAGTTATTTAATGACTCCCTGCCTTGTTTTTTATTTTTTTGTTTTTATTTTTATTTTTTTGAGATGGAGTCTTGCTATCTTGCCCAGGTTGGTCTTGAATTCCTGGGCTCAAGTGATCCTCCCACCAGGACACCGCTAGATGTAGTGATTGGTTTAGGTCAATCTGAGTCAGCCTCTGCTGGCAGGAAAGTCAGTTGCTGTTTACTGTTAGTTTTCTCCCCTCCTACCAGACTCATTCTCTGCTGTACTCTACTCTTTGGAAAGCTGACTGTATAGAGTATATCATTCAGGCTCTCTTCCTCTGTTTCCAGTTAGATTTGGCCAATGGGAGGCATTGGCAGGAGACTGGAGGGCAGGAGAGAGAAAATCAGGATATTTCTATTCTGTTCCCTCCCTGTCTTGGTGCCATGCTCTGTAGTACCTATATCCCTCTAACAACAGCCCTTGTCAGAGCCACAGCTCCCAGTCTTACCAGGATCTAGTAACACCATTTCCTCCCTTTCCTATTTCGACCTGGGGACAGTAAAGGCTTTGTGCTGTTGCCAGTTCCCTTGACCTTGGGAAAAGTTCCTTCGAAAAGTGGTCCACGCTGAGCATGTTGGCTCATGCCTGTAATCCCAGCACTTTGGGAGGTTGAGGTGGGAGGA